AATTTTTAAGCCAGTTTGCAAATGGAAAATCCAATTTCGAGTGAATAATAAATTCACGGGGCGAGCGCAATTAACCTTGTTCCACGCGCGAGAGAGCAATTCACTCCCAAGATCCAATGTCGCCGAGGTCTTTTCCCCCGACTGTGTTTCTCTTCCGTTTTTTCTTGATTTTTTCGCCGCAATTTTACGTTTGTTTAATTGGTTCTTTCATTCGCCGTAATATCCACTTCTTATTTGGTTACACTTTGACGTCGTCACACGGACGGAAATATTTCTACCTCCTTTTGTCGGAACACGTATTGGGCTACGTTAAATAATGTAGAAATTCCTGAGTTTCTCGAGTAATAACAGCCGAGCATTTCGACTCTGTAATATCCTTGCTCTTCCCCTCTCTCTTTCTCTCTCTCTCTCTCTCGGCATCTCCGCTCCCCTCGCACATTTTACACGCCTTTACTGTAGTTGGCACTTCCAACGCGTCCTTTGTCGGTGCCCTCGGTGTTCTCTCGCGCGAAATACCCACCTTCACTTTTGCTCGTCAAGGCAAAGTCCCTCTGAAACGGGTTTTACCCCGAGAACCAGAGTCTTGCATCAAAGCGTGCAACAAAATATCGTTTTCCTTAAACACTCCGGTGTATTAAATAGTCAATAACGTCGCGCCATTGCCCGCGCGAGTCCCGCGGGCGCGCGAGAGACATGTGTTTCCGCGCCCGACTTCCGCGTGTGTCGCACGGTGAGAATAAAAACTCTTACGATCTCCAAATAAAGCCCGCGCTTATGCTCAAGAATAAATAATAAAAAAAACAAAAAAAACAACAACTGCGACGCGACTCTTGTACGCGCGTTTCGCCGCAGGTCACGACGTAAACGAGATTTACGGCGGCGCGAGCGCACCGCCTTCTCGTTCGCGCCAAATATTGAACCGTCTAAAACAATAAAAACGAGATTTATGACGTACGATAAATTAAGCATTTCTCCGTGTGCACGCGCTTTACCGCATTGCGAAACTCTTGCGCATGCTCTTCCTTGAGAAATAAATCACGAGGCGGAAACTTTCGCGCGTCTTATTCGCGAAACAAGGTGACAATGTTAAATAAATAATAAATAATAAAAAAAAAAAAAAACAGAACTTTTTCCTCCAGGCGTTTTTCCGTTATTCGAAATTCTTTTTCAATGGATAACTCGCGAAACATTTATAACAGATCCGTAAACTGAAGCCCCGAGCTGCATTCAGACCGGAATTCCAAACGGTCTCTAAACAGTCTCTGTGTCTCGGTGTCTGACACTTTTTGCGCGCAATTCAATTTTGATGTCACGGAGCGCGATGTGTGCGCGACATACGGCGCATCGGTTTTGTTTTTTTCTTTTGTGAATCATGCACCGTTAAAATTCCATTCGCTCTCTTGGAGGAGAGAATTTTCCCTTGAAGAATTATACATGTGCGCGCGACGATGCCGCGTATATAAACCGCGCCGCGATACAGATGGCGGATTACACGTATTGGCACTTCGTCCAGACCGCGACGGGCGGTAGATCTTTTACCCGGAAGCTTGACTTTCTTTCTCCTTTCTCAGGAGAAAGGATCTCCGTATAGTTACATTCTTTCTTTCTCTCTCTCTCTCTCTCTAACAAGCATATCACGCCTTACTTCAATAACCTACAGTGGTTGAGGATCAAATCAAGAAGAGATTATTTCGTTGGGTGCCTGGTTTATAAAATTCTGAAGACGAAAAGGCCAAAATCGATATATATGAATCCTTTGTATTTAGACGAAGTAGAAATCTGCGCGATACTAGAATGATTCTGGACGATTTCGTTCTTTCAATATGTAGAACGGAACTGTTCAGGCGCTCCTTCAGGTGCGCCTGCGTAGATGTTTGGAACGCGATACCTGTGGATATCCGCGAGGAACCCTACTGCGATTTTAAAAGACAATTGCACGCTCACCTCTTCTTGCAAACTGCTTAACTCTCTAATGGCTTTACTTATTCGTTACTGTTATTACTATTATTTTTATTTTCATATTTTCTTGTTATATTATTTTTTTTTCACATACTCACTTAATCACTCTGTTTAATTTCTTAATTTTGTTGCTTTATATTATATTTTTATTTTTGTTATTAATGCGCTTGAGGGGGCTTCCCAGAGCGCGATATAAATAAAGCGTTTATCTATCTATCTATCTATCTATCTCTCTCTTTTCTCTCTCTCGAAAACTTGCAATCAATCTCGCATATGTGAGAGAAACATTTCGAGAATAAAGTTGCCACGGGAAGCAAATACTCGCGCGCGCCGCGCAAAGTAGTTCGAGTCAGCGGATAATCGGGCGACGAAATTTATCGGCGATATATTCTAACGTGTCGCGCGAGAGGTTGAATAAATTTATTTCCCGCGGTTAAATCGGCGGAAGATATTCTTTTTGTGGCATCTTCAACTATACTAGACCCAATAAACTATTTGCCAGACCATTCTTTTTCAATATCAAGATTCTTTGTTCATCAGCATCCCATTCGCGCGCGCTTGCGTTCTACTTTGCACAAGTCTTCCTTGTACTTTCAACCGTGCGCGCGAGCGAACTCTCGGAACCGCGTTAGTTGCTCTTTTATGGTGCACTTTACGGTCTTCGGGAGAAGAAATTCAGTTTTAGAAGAATTCTCACGCCGGTGACTGCTATCTGCTTCTTTTCGCTTCCTTCTTCGCTTCCATCGATAAAGCCGAGATACAGTTCGCGCCCGATATGTCGCGGAGAAGTTGGCTTCATTACGAGGCTCGCTCCCGTACGAAAAGTTTTTCTGGAAAAATTCGATAATTGCACGTGGAAGGTGCGGGGCGAGCGTGATTAAAATAAAACATGAAAAACCGCGCGAAAACGTGATTGAAAAATTGCGAAAAACAAATTGAAGACACATTCGTGGGTTATTTGCTAAAACGCGATCTCGACAGCATCATCGACAGAATCATCATTCGGCGAAATTACTTAATTTTCCGATGATATTATATGAGCAATCTCGCAAAAGGATTTAATTAAAATTGGAGTTGACGATGGTCCGCCGAAGCTTATTACAGAATCTGACGAGAAACGCCCTTGCACATTTCTCTCTCGCAAGATCGATCAGCGCAGGCGGGAATTACTTTCTCTTTAATCACCGTTCTGTGAACCGGGTATGAAAAAATAAAAATGCCCGCGGTCGTCTCTCCAAGGGAGAAAATTTCCGCCTCGTGTACACCTTGGTTACTTTTCTTTTTCTTGTTTTTTTTTTCTTTTTTTTTTTTTTTTTTTTTTTTTTTTTTTTTTTTTTTTTTTTTTATCCTTTCTTTTTATCTTTTTCTCCGAAAGCGAATCTGCAGTTCGGGAGCAGTTGAGGAAGGCGCACGGGGCGCGCGCGCGCGCGCGCTTCGGAGAGTAAGTTGTCCTTGTAAAGAGCGGTCGTAAAGTGCTGAACGTCGCTTAAAGGGTCGTCGCCGGGCCGCTATTACCTCGAGAAGAGCACTTTGCGCTATTACCAATACACGAAACATGACGACGCCGACGTGAAATGATAGAGTCGAAGGGCGAAGATAGTAGCTAACCTTAACTCGGATCTCTCCGATCCCTTCCTTCCTTCCTAGACTCGTCTCTGACGAAGGGCGTCTCTTATTTTACTCGCGATATTATATACTTGCTTCGTGCAAAGTGCAGCCGTGCCTTTAGACGGAGAGAGAGAGAGACGGAAAAGCGAGAGCACTACATAATATTGCTTCATCGGTTAGCCAGTACGATCTTAAAAGCATCTTTAATGCGGGCGTTTCTTCGACGGACCTTGCACCTTCCTTGTTAGCGCTCTTGCTTCAAAATACAAAATCGACATTACGGAAGATCGATATCTTTTGTACATATGGACGAGGGTTCGTTTGACGTATGAGAGTTGCGCATCTCCAACGCGTCGGCAAATTTCCGACGAATGGGATAGGCGCGGTTTTACAGAGGCGGATCAATCTCACTTAAGAAACAATACCCATGTGCATTTCATTTCGAGATAGTGAGAAAAAGAGGCGCATCTGCCTGGGGTAGATCATTCAAAAATTACCGGCTGTCACGTGTGAACGCACGTTCGTCCGAATGTTAGGCGCGAAGAGTTTCTCGCGATGTTGCGTTCTTATATAGAACGCGGATGACAGGCGATCAATCCTGAAGCGCGCCGCCCGCAAAGACTTCTATTACGTCGGCGAAATTGATTTGATGATCGTGTCTCGTAATCCCTTTTCCGTGCAAGCGAGAAAGAGAGAGAGAGAGAGAGAGAGAGAGAGAGAGAGAGAGAGAGAGAGAGAGAGAGACTTCCGCATTAATGCGGAAACGGTCGGGAGTGCGGGTACGTAATGTTGTTGCGCGCACATTTCTCCCCCGGTGCATACAAATAGCTTTGTCCCGGCGACTATTTTTCTCATCCCCGACGACGATCGGGACAAAAATACGTGCGGGACGAAATTTCCCTTTACGACCATCCCTAACACCATCTAATTCCCTCCTCGTAAAAGATGTGGAAAAGACCGCAAGCCTTATTCTCGCTCGGAATGCCATCCGGTAGAGAAAGAGTTCGGGAAGAGCTTCCCCGAAGACGTTACGAATAAAAGGAACGATCTGGCTGAGGCGAAATTGAGGTGAGATTTCAGCGCGGGGATTTCGCGGCCAGGAGGAAACAAATCGATGTACGCCGTCGTCCCGTTATCCGAGGCTCTTCCCGACCACGACGTAAATTCTGTAAATCGCTCGTCGCGGCAACGCGATCGTCACCGGTCGTTTGAGGGGGGGGGGAGGAGAAAAGAGTAGGCTGTCTAGTAGCGATTGATAGATAGCCCACGGTGTCACAGTTTTTTGTTTTGTTTTGTTTTCTATACGTTTTGTGACCTACTTCAAAAAAAAAAAAAAAAAAGACTAAAATGTTTCTTTATTTTTTGCAGAGCTTACCGCAGACACCAGCCGGCGGTGCTGGTGGCAAAGCGGGCGCGAGCGGCACCGGCTCGAGCGCTGGGATGGTCAACGGTGCCAGCGCGGATCACGAGAACATCCGGGACGGCGCTGGGATAGACACAGAGCTCGTGAGTACACACAATACACACATTTTGTCCCCCGTATCTGTGCGTTTTACGTGAATAAATCAAAATGCGTTTTAAAAATGAATATTCGATTTCGAGTCGACGCGCCGGTGAACACTTCCCCGCGGCTGTTGATAGAGAAATTCTTCGGAGTGAAAGTCGGGGGCCCGTGTTTAAAACTTCCTCCCGGAACCGCAAAGTTTGCGCCGCGACAGTATCCGCCGAACTTAATTCTACGAATGTTTTTAATTATTTGCTGTTAGGATAATGAGTTTCGCCGGATATAACGACTGGCGCAGGCACACACACACACACACACGCACACAGCAACGAGGTAGAAGTAAAACGAAATCGCGCTTCCGTCGCCTTCCTTTGTCGATAACTCCGCCGCTTTCGGAAAAGTTTTCGCGCAAGTGTGCCGGCGTACGACAAAAGTTTTATCATGGCAAAAGAACCGACCGGCAAAGCGGCCATTCGAGCTGCGCTCGCGCTGCTATTGTTTACTTCGTTCTACTTCGGTTCGAGCGGGCCCCTTTATTGCCGGGTACGCGGGGAACCGCGCCCGGTACGACGGAATAAAGAGAAGAGCAGAAAGGAAGGAAGAAGTCGCGCGCGGCGGGGGGGATGTCATGGGGGAAATCACTGTGATTACACTCTCGACCTAAGTTATCCGCGCGCGCGCGGAATACATCTGAAATCTCATTTCGAGTGCAAATACCGCGTGTAGTTTTTGCTGTTAAAAATTATGGGAATATTTTTTCGAAGTCAATGTAAGGCTTGAAGGTTGATAAAAAAAAAAAAAAAAAAAAAAAGAGAGTTCTGCTAGATTTCACGGCGGTGATAAAACCTCGAAGCGAGTCGATATAGATGACGAAAATGAAACCGTGTGCGCGTGTACACAGTAATTTCTCTCGCTCGATCTTCTTTACAAAAAAGAAAAAAAAATGATACGCGCGAGAGAGGATTAAAGCGCGCTGCGCTCGTGCATAATATAATAAGTTAAAAGGGAAGGAGAAAGGAGAAGGGGGAGAAGGGCGAAAACAGCAAGATCTCGGAAGGTATGCAATACGGGGGATCTAGACCGGACAGCGGGAGCGAGCTGGAATTCAGGAATTAAGCGATTACTTCCGAAGTTAACCATTGTTCCCGGCAGTCCATCAATCCGTCTCTCCCGGAACGATCCTCTCCCCTGCCGTTTTTTCGCACGTCGATCCATTCGTACGGAATTAAAACCGTTATCTGCGTACCTCCACCCGCCTAGCCGGAGCTTCCAAGTGCGGATGGGCGGCGAAGGGTGGATGAGTGGCGCTGAGTCCGTGGGGCGAATGTCGGACAAAAGGGGGACGGCGAATAGAGAGATGTGGAACATGGACTGGTCATCCGCAGACCCTACGTTCTAACGATGTGTACGATGGGGATGGGATTCTCTATCGATAAATCATCGCATTATCATTACATCCGTCTTCGTCGCGTGAAAAAACACAATCTCGCGATTTTTTGATTTGTGTGAGCGCGACGGAGAACTCGCGCGTTTTGTAAATAAACAAATATATCTTGAACGCGCAGTTCTCTGTGGAGCGTTTTTGCGCGAAGGATTGTTGCAAAAAACTCTTGTTTTTCTTTTTTTTTTTTTAACGTAATAACACGCGTAAAGTAAAACCGAGGCAACACACACATTCGCGAAACGGATTGCTCTCTTCGCGTCAATGTTATTCATTCGGTTTTGTGGGCATTTTTAATCGAGCTTTCGCGAAAATCCACGCCCGCGATTGTTCGCAACCGAAAAAAACGTCGGCGATAGGCGTCAACATTTTTTTTTTTTTTTTTCCATTGCCTCGTCCTCTCTCTCTCTCTCTCTATCTCTCTCTCTCTCGCCGCTCTTCCTCTTTTCCATCTCGGTTGAATTTTTTGCAATTTTTCCCTCATGTCTATCGATTTACATGCGCCAGCAAAATCGACGATGCTTACGTCGTTTGCCCGCGCTCGTCTAGCAGTTTATAATCGAAAAGCGGCGCGCAAGTTTCAGTGGCAGTACGGCAGGGCCGCCAGATGAAGTCGGGCGGCGTTTTATCGCTACGACTTTCTCTCTCTCTCTCTCTTGTTGTCCCGGTTCCGATACATCGGAAACCCTCCCGTCCCGCCGTCTCTCCGCGTGTGGCCATCTTTACGTATTTGCGTATTCATCTCCGTGCGCTTATATGACAGAAGTGAAATTGGAAACCGGAGGGGAGATAGAGAGAGAGAGAGAGAGAAAGAGAGAGAGAGATAGCGAGGATCTAGAATATTTATATCTCTCGCGTATTCTTTCATGTCGTTGTGTAACATATAGCTCGCAAGAATCGCAATACACATTTTTCTTCATACTCTGTTTCAAATACACAAACAACACAAACGCGAGGTATATTACATGCGCTTGGAATAAAAGTCCGCGTACGTCTGGAAAAGACCGGGGAAGAAAAGTTCAAGCCGACAGTTGATAGACGAATATTTCAAACATTTTTATACGTGTATAATATGTGTCTATCTTTTTTTTTTTTTTTCTGATCGTCGCGAGATATTTTCTCTGATATTTCTTCTACTCAGAGAACATTGTGTGTCTCTCCTTCTCTCTCTCTCTCTCTCTTTCCCTCTCGACCATAATTTCTTCTTGCGTTTTTGTTATAATCAGAAAAATCGTTGCTTTCTCGCCGGTCGAGCGGTCGCTACAATCAAGAAAGCAGAAAATTAGACGCCGACATCTGGAAAGGAAACAATTCTCTTGTTTTGTTACGTCGGCTTGTGAGAATTTCCCGTGAGGGACGTGGGAGAACTAATTCCGTAATTGCGATCTGAATTTTTTCGAGAGGAAGAAAAAGGGCGAAGAACGCGCGCTTTTCTCCGCGAGACAAGCTCTAATTCACCTCATTATTTGCGTTGGGTTTTTTTTTTTTTTTTTTTTGTTTCGTTCTTCCGAAATGTGTCAACTTTAAATGTGTCGCGAGATCACTCGTCGTCATCGTCGTCGTCGTCGTCGTCGCCGCCGAGTCGGCGATGTGAAACTAGGCGATATTTTTACAACAGAGAGAATGCGAAAAATTACCACGCGATTACGAGCGACGCGAAATGAGCGCATAGTTTCTCGAAACACCCAAGTTCATCATCTTTTGCGACATGGCGCGACACGAAAAATATTGTTCTCGATAGCTCTCGCCCATCTAAGGAAGAATTAATGTTCGTTCGGATTAGAGTCGATCTCTTTTCTTCTTTACCTAAAGCGAAAAACTTCTTTGCGTTCCTTTTTCCGGATCGAACGCCGCATCTCGCGGGCGCATTTAAGAGCGACGCAGACGGATACGCGAGCGTAAGGGTTTATCCCTGCGCGTGTCTTGTAAGCAATTCGACGGCAAAGAAACCAATTCCGCTACCATTATACCCGTCAATTTATTTTCTGTCTCCGCGTTCCCGAGTTTAGGAAAGAGTTCTCTCAGAAATGAGAGCCATCGCAAAACCCGAAACGCAACGATTATTCGCAAATAATCCCGACGCGGATTTTTTCTTTCAATCTTTGCCCTCGCTCGGAGAAAAAGATAAGTGCTAATTGTTTAGAAGAAAAAGATCATCGTTGTTTGTTGCGTTTGCACAAGCCCAAGTGGAAGTAACGAGAGATCTTACGAAGATACACACACACACACACACACACACACACACACACACACACACACACACACACACACACACACACACACACACACACACACACACAGAAGTATCATCCGCGCGTAACACGCCGACGCTCGCATATTTGCTTAATTAAAAGGTAGATTAGCGAAACGTCGTCCGGCCGAAGTTGCGACTAACAATACGCGCGCGTATTGTGATTATGCAAATTTCTTTAATTTCTCCCGAGCCATCTGCGACGAGCGTTAATGTCGCGCAATAAAAGGAACCGAATTGCGGGGAGAAATGCTTCTTACACGCTGCTTGCGTCGGAGAAAGAGAGTTCCTAAAAATTCCTCAGCTTAAACGGACTCTCGGTACTCGCGCAAAATCGTAATTAACAATGGAAAGTGCAACGTGCGGAGCGCAGTGGATCGCCGTGATACGTACGGACCAAGCGCATTTCAGGGTAGCCGAAATATTCTATAAAGTTAGCCTCCCCTCCTCTGCCTCCTAATGTTTTGACATTTTTGTACGTGATTACAATTTTACTTCACTTCACTACTGACACGTCACAGTAGATTAATTTGATTTTTTTTGTGGTAACAGTATTTTAAAATTTTTTAATTGTTAGCTTTGAAAAAAATTAACAGATGTTTAAGGTCACAGTGATTGGGTGTTTTGTTCTATTAGCGACATTAATTGAACTACAATCATTTTCTCAGATTTATTGTTTATTTGTTAGAAAATAAAAGCGCTTATGTGTAGAAAGATGGTCATCTTTCTACACATCCATGTAACGAGAGAGAGAGAAAGAGAGAAAGAGAGATGGGGAGGGGGAAAACACCAAACGTTTTATTAAACCAGATACACACAAAAACCGCAGAGGGACGGAGACGCGGTCGAAGGCGCGTTTGTCGAAGATAGAAAAGAGAATGTAGCGAGGGTAAAAAGGGTGGAAGAGAAAGGAAGGCCCGACGCGGTTTAACAAAGGAACGCTCTCGGCAGCGCGCGCGCGCGCGGGGGCTTTGAATTCCCAACCCTTTTCCTCTTCCACCGTCGTTATTCCCTATCTGGCCGGCATTATGCATTTTTCTTCGCTTATATCACGAAAAACGCTGGTGAAATGTTTCATACTCGCATTCACAAGTGGCCGCGCGCGAATCCGCTTTATTAAACTCTTCAAGCGCCCGCAGGTGCGCGCACGAAATTACGAATATGCATGGATATTATTAACGCGGTAACATTTGATGCGAGTGATAAGCACGTGAGCGCAAAGAAAATCGGACGTTTCTAATTAAGGCCAGAAATACAAATGGGAAGGAAGCGGAGCGCTACAATCGTTTACGAGCGAGAGCGAGAGAGAATGTATGTAACGCTGAAAACCGATGACGTATGAATCCACAATAGAATTTTTCCTGAAGAGAAATTTTGTGCAAACGTATATACGCAGTAAGATCCAAAAGTTCAAATAAGTTTAATATCGAACAACATTAAAAAAGTAATTATATATTTTTTTAACTTTTACAAATACATTGAAATAAAAGTATGTACAATTGTATATACAAGGTGTTCTCTACACTATCGCTCTCAACATGTTTATATAACAGGAATATTTTAAAATCGATGTAAAAACATAAGATTATTTTTAAAAAATAATTTTGCACATACATCGCTTTGGTAAACATTGCAGACGCATACGTCATGCTCAAATATATATATATATAAATACATATACAAATATACAATATATATAAATAACTTAAAAATATGTAACTATATTTATAATAGACGCATAATATTAGTTAACTCTATTATAACTCGTATAACAATGAGTTTATTTTGTTATATATTATATAATATGTTATACAATATATAGAAATAGAAGTATGCATATTGT